CCCGCGCCCGAGCGGGGGAGGCTGACGGGGCGGCTGCCTGGGGTCCCCGGGGCCATCCAGCCTGACCCGGCCCGCGCCCGAGCGGGGGAGGCTGGCGGGGCGGCTGCCTGGGGGGCTGCTTGTGGCCAGGCGCTGCTCGCGACCTCGCCTTTCTCCCTGCAGGACGGAGGAGGGCCGGCCATGGAGCCGTCCCCCGGGCTGGCCATCGTGCACGTGGACTTCCCGGAGGTGACCAGCGCCCTGCTGCAGAACCTGAACCAGCAGCGGGTGGAGGGCAAGCTGTGCGACATCGCCATCCACGTGCAGGGCCGCGTCTTCCGCGCCCACCGGGCCGTGCTGGCCGCCTCCTCGCCCTACTTCCACGACCAGGTGCTGCTCAAGAACATGACGTCCATCATCCTGCCCAGCGTCATGGACCCCGTGGCCTTCGAGACCGTGCTGGGCTCGGCCTACACGGGCAAGCTGAGCATGGCGGCCGACGAGATCGTCAACTACCTGACCGTGGGCAGCGTCCTGCAGATGTGGCACATCGTGGACCGGTGCACGGAGCTGCTCAAGGAGCGCCGGGGGGCCCTGCTGGGGCTGTCGGCCGCCGCCAGCTCCTCCCGGGGCCACTCCAGCCGCACCAGCGACAACCAGTCGCCCAGCAGCAGCAACTACTTCAGCCCCCGGGACTCGGGCGAGGGCCCCGAGCAGGGCAAGTTCAACCCGCGCGGCGCCCTGGCGGGCGAGGGCCCGGAGGACCGCGACGAGGAGGTGCTCTTCCAGGCCGAGAAGGGGCCCTCCCGCTGCCCGGACCCCTTCGCGGGGGGCAGCAAGTTCATCCTGGAGACGGACGACGACGCCAGCGACAGCGGGGAGCCGGCCAGCAGCGAGGGCCGCCGGCCCGCCTACGTGCGCCCGAGCATCATGCCCCAGAAGCAGTGGGTCTTCGTCAAGAAGGAGCGCCCCCAGGAGGACCTGGTGCTGACCTGCGAGGAGGACGAGGACCCCGTGGAGGTGGCGGCCACGGCGGGGGGGGCAGCCCCCGAGGCCGCCCTGAGCATCATCGACGTGCGCACCCTGAGCAGCCCCGGCGGCGGCGGCGGCGGCAGGCTGGAGGAGCAGGTCAACTTCTGCGAGTCCTCGGAGGGCTTCTCCTCGCCCTACGAGGGGCTGGAGGAGGCCTCGCCGCTGCCCGGCCCCTTCCCGCCGCGCTCGCTCATGCCCATGGACATGCAGGGCAACCAGATCGTGATCTTCCCGCCGCAGGCGCCCGTGGAGCACGGGGCGGTGCAACTGGCGGGCAGCTCGGGCGACGGCAACAAGATCTTCATGTGCCACTGCGGCAAGGCCTTCTCGCACAAGAGCATGCGCGACCGGCACGTGAACATGCACCTCAACCTGCGCCCCTTCGACTGCCCCGTCTGCAACAAGAAGTTCAAGATGAAGCACCACCTCACGGAGCACATGAAGACCCACACGGGCCTCAAGCCCTACGAGTGCGACGTCTGCGCCAAGAAGTTCATGTGGCGCGACAGCTTCATGCGCCACAAGGGCCACTGCGAGCGGCGCCACCGCCTGAGCGGCGAGGCGGGCGCCGGGGGCCTGGCGGGCGGCGCCGCGGCCGTGGCCCCGGGGGGCGTCAAGAAGGAGCCCTCGCCCTCCCGCGTCGGCGGGGACGCCGAGTGGGCGGCGGGGCCGTGTGGGGAGCCGCGGGAGGCCCAGGGCGGCCCCCCGCCCGGCAGGGACCCTTCCAAGCCGCCCTGGCCGCGGGGGACGGTCCACCACACCCCGCCGCTGGCCTGAGCTGACCTGACCTGAGGGGCTGGCGCCGGCAGCACCCCCTGCCCTTGGGGCGGGCCAGGGCGGGCTCCCGGGCGCGGGCCTTCCCCCGGACCCCGCGGGCCGCTGGGGCGGGTGGCTTGGTTTCGGGGTTCGCGCCTGGGGGGGCTGCCCGCCAGCCCACCCCCTCCCCAGCTGAACTTTCCCCGTTCTTAGTTAATGTCTGTGTGTGTTTGGGGGCAGAGGGCGGAACTGAACACTAAATGCCCCCCCCCACGGTGCTGTCTAGGTGGGAGTCCCACGCCTGTCCCTCCGCCAGCCCATGTCTGGGCAGACATGTGCCCTGTGCCGGAGGCCCACACGGCACACCTGTTCCACAGGTGTGCTGGGGGGGGGGGCGGGAGCGGAGCCCCCCCTTTGCATGCCGGCAGTTTTATCCTGGCCCGGGCTGGGGAAGCCCCCGTTGGAGCTGGCGTGGACGCAAGGGGGGCGCTGGACGAAGGGCCCCCGCCCTTGCCCTGTATGCCGGAGTGGCCGGGAGGTGGGGGCTCACGGCGGGGCGGGTGGTGCCCCCCTGGCCTCGGCCCCCTAGTCTTCCTTCCGACAAGGTCTCCTGAGGGAGGGGGAAGGGTGCCCCCCACCCCAGGGGCATTGCTGAGCCTGGCCCCCCACCCCTCCCTGGAGGCCAGCAGAGGGTGCTTTTTCTGCAACGCTAGGGCCACGCGGGGAGCAATTTTCAAGGGGGGGCGAGGGTGACTTTTCATTCGAGATTCAACAGCCCCCCCCCAATGCTTCCAACTCCCCGCATGGCAATTAAACTAAGGTGGACCGATCTCTCTGGTTGGAAGAGATTTGGGCAAATCGCCCCAAGACTGGGCTAAGAGATCTTGTAATATTTAAGCAAATCCTTAATAAATTTGCATATCTAGATAGCCAGCTGCCTATGCAGGCCCGTGTCCTCTCGGAAGGGCCCCGAATCTGTGTCTAGCAGCCCCCCCCCCCCCGGCGACCATCCGGACGATGGAGGGTGTGAGCGGAGGGGAAGGCCGCCTCTCGGCCCCCCGCCCGAGAATTCAGCAGCTCCCTCGGGCGCCTGCTGAGCTGAATCCCACCCCCCCGAACTGTGCATCCCGTCCTGTCCAATTTGTGTTGGGATTTTTGTAACTTGATTTGGTCCGGGACTTTAAAAAAATGATAAATATTTATTGAGCTGTTTGAATCCCCCCGCCCCACTGTTTGTATCTTTGTCTGGGTCTCCCGCAGCCCCCAGAGTGGCAGGGCGGGGGTGGGCAGAGCTATCCAGGTCTCCGGACGTCACATGGACGTCACTGCCGGGGTCTCGCAAGGCCTGCGTGGGCTGAAGGTGTGGCTCCTCGGAGCCGAGCTGGCGGGAGGGGGGCCCATCCCCAGCTCTCGGGCAGCGCTTCGTTGGAAGCAGCCGGGGTGTGCTGTGGGGGGGGCAGTCCGAGGACAGGGCCCCTGGTTCGGATTGTTCTGTGGGGGTGGGCCTTGGACATCACCGGCGGCCCCCAGACGCTGCACCCCAGAGCTCCTGTGCAGCGGCTTTGCAGGAGTGAGCCTGGAGGACAGGTACCCCCATCTCTCCGCCCCCTCCCCATGACCACCTGCTTCCTCTCTGGGCGCTTGAGAGGATCGAGAGCAGAGCCTTACTCCTTGAGACCTGTGGGGGGGGGGCAGGTCAAGCTTTGAAATGCCTCCCCCTCCTGTCCTCCCCTGCCAGATGGACGGGCATCTCTGGCTTGCTTACACAAACCACATCCTTCCTCTGCTGCCTCCACACCCCATAGCAGCTCTGAGCCCCCCCCCCCCGTTTCCCCCCCCCCCCCACCGTGCCCAGACCGGACATATTTTCCCAGGCGCCCCCGAGTGGGGAGGCGCCCTCACCCGCCCCATGAGGACCACCGTCTCTGCAAACACAGCTGGAGGGCCCACCGATCAGCCCCGCCAGCCTACGACTCCCATCATCCGCTAGTGGTCGGACGGGGGGGTGGAGTCCGGTGTCTGCATAGAGGAGGAGAGGTCCCCCACCGCGACGCAACAGTCCCAGGTCTCAGGTGCCACCTGCCTGCGGCCGCTTGAAGGACCCGGCCCCTGCGCTCCCTGGCCGGCCGGGCCCCCTGCGATGGCCAGCATCCTAAGCCGCGTGCCCTGAAAGCACTGCGGACCACCCCCTGCCTCTTGGGGGCCGGCATCGGCCGACTTCTGCCTCGAAAATACCCCCCCCCCGCACCACACAATCTCCGGCCCGGCCCGGCCCCTCGCCCGCTGCCCCCCAGCACGGTGACTCTCTTCTGCCCCACCGGGAGGCTGCGGGGAGACTTGGGGTGGGGGCACAGAGCCGAAGCCCTTGGGCCACAGCCCGGCCCCCCCAACCGCAACAGCTTGAATGTGGCTGGGCCCCATGCAGCCCCTCCTGCCCCATTGCCAGAAGCCCCTAAAGGGGAGGGGGTGGCTGCTTTGGCCTTGCCCCCTCCCCCCGCCGGACCAAGGCCCCGGGTGGGGAGGGGTCGACTGGGCAAGATGCGTCCGGGGAGATGGCGCCCCAGGTGAATGGGGGGAGTTGGCCCCACATCTTAACGGCAGAACTTGAGGCAGGGCAGAAGCGGGGAGCTGGTGGACGGGCGGCTGGGCCAGCAGGGCCGTGCCACCGAGGTGCCTTTTCTCCACTCTCGCACGATCCTGCAGGCGCCCCCGAGTCCTGCCTGCACAGGCCCCGGGAGAAGAGTGGGGCTCCCTGGCATGGCGGCCAGGAAGCGGCTCCCGCCCCTGCACAATGCATGGCCTCACCCCCCAGGTAGCGCCTTCTCCGGCCCCCTTGGAAGAGCCCCTGCCTGGCGTGCGGCCCGAAAGGGGGGCCTCCGTCGTGCCCGTCTTGCAAGCCGAGGGGACAGACCGGATCGAAGGCTGCAGAGCTGGGGCCGTGCACGGAGTGGGCTGCGGGGTCGGGCCGGGCCGGGCCACCGCTCGAGCCCGCCCTGCCCTAGAGACTGGGGGCCAGGTGCCTCCGCCTGCCCCCTTCCTCTGGCATCGGGTGTGCTTGGAGTGGCTCCCGGAGCCACGCACACAGCAGCGCCGGGCTGGATCTCCCCGGGAGATGCCCCTGCCTTGCTGCCCCTCCCGTGGGAGTTGCTTCCACCTTCCTGGGGAGGCTCCTGCATGGCGGCCTCTGGGACTAGGCCTCTGGGTCCCCGCACTCCCCCCTGCGGAGCTGCGGCACGAGCCTCGGGGGCGTCTGGCCGGCAGGCGGAGGGCACGGCCGGGCGCCTCGGGGTCCTCTGCTCAGCCCTGGACCCGGAGCCCATTCCCACCCACCCTGCACGGCTTCCCTGTGCCGCCTCGGCCGCGCTCGTCCTCGTCGGCCGGGCACCCAGCGCCTCCCGGGCCGTTTCATTCCGGATGCTCCAGTGGTGGGTCCGTTAGGTTCTGCACCTTCATTTTGTACACATCGTTCTGAAAAGGCCAAGAAACCTGATAAAGGAGGGGGGTGGCTGTGGGGTGAGCTCGGGTCCCTTTGCCCCGCTCATGCCGACGAGGGGCAACTGTGGGCTCCCCCGGCATCGGTCGGTCCCTGGGGGAGCAGTGGGCCCCAGTCCATAGGGGGTGCCACCACCCAGACCTCAAAGGACGGCTCCCACGGGAAGGGACGAGCCCGCAAGAGCCACCCTGGGCCTCAGCGGGAGGTTTTGATGGCCAGAGCAGCCGCGGGGGTGGGGGTGGGGGGGCCAGCTGTGTTGCAACAAGCACCTCCCCGGGGACCTGGCCTTTCCTCCTTCACTGCCCTCGCCCCTGCTGTGCGGAGCCAGGGCTGGGGGCAATAAAAACAGAGCAAGGCAAAAGGGGCCTCCGGGGCCATCTAGTCTGACCCCTGGCTCCAGCCGGCTCCGCTCACGACATGCCCACCATGCGCACGTCCAGCCTATCCTTGAACACCCGCACCGATGGGGCCTCAACCACCTCTCAGGAAAGCCCATTCCACACCCTCGGGGTCCTGACTGTCAGGACCTGCTTCCTGGCACCCGAATGGAACCTTGGCTCCCTGAGCTTTGCTCCATTGGAGAGCGTCCTGCCTTCCTCTGCAGGGGAGAACAGGCCTCTCCCCACCTCCATGTGACCCCCCCTCACATACCTGCATGTCGCCAACAGCCCCCCTCCGAGCCGCCTCTTCTCCAGGCTGAAGAGACCCAGTCCCCTCACTCTCGCCCCATACGGCTTCCCCTGCAACCCGGCCACCAGCCACGTGGTCCTCGCTGCACCGAGTCCAACTGGCCATCTGGGCTGTGTGAACGCAGCGTGCCAGCCCCGCCCCGCCCCCCCCCCAGCGGAAGGAGCCCCTGCAGCGGGGCCGGCTCTAAAGGCGGGCACCCCCGCAGCCTGTGAGGCCACGCAGCCCTGCGTGCCCGAAGCGCCCCCTGCGTGTTGGGGCCGTGGTGCCGCCCTTCCCTCGCGGCTCAGAGCATTCAGCCGGGGGCCCCAGCGGGACCTGGAGGGACGCCGGCGACTCAGGGCAGCCCTGATCCAGGCCCAGGTCGCTTGCTGCTCCCAGTGAGGGAAGAGCCGCCCTCCTGGGTTGCCTGGGAGCGGGGGGGGGGGGGGGGGGGTTTACCCGGCGCCCCCCTGCGGGGGGCGGGGTTGGGGGTGGGGGGCCCAGGCCGGGGCCCGGAGGGGGGGAGGGGGGCTGGACCTCAATTGGGCGGCCGCTTGTTCTAACAGTGCGGTTCTTGGAAAGGGCCGGGGGGGGGGGGGCGTTGCCTGCATGCACGCAGGGGGTGCATCGCACGTACCCCCAAAACACAAAAATCTAGGACTGAGGGTAATCTAAAATACCCAGGGCTGGAGCAGGGGGTCAGACTAGATGGCCCAGAGGGACCCTTCTGGCTCGCTCTGCTTCTATGGTGAGGAGTGAGTGTGGCAGCCCAAGAAAAGGACAGAAAGGCCGGGAGGATGGTTGGTGGAAAGCAGAAGGCCAGTTTCTTTCTTCCCTCCCTTATTTTATTTTATTTTATTTTATTTAAAACTTTTATACTGTCCACTACCAAATAGTGTTGGGACAGTTTTTCTTGAAATCCTGCCCTCCTCTCCAGTGGAGGGCCCAAAAAGCCTTTCAGCATTACGACAGTCCGGCAAGGTGGGCCAGGCGGGAGACATGCCATGGCCTCCAAGTACGTGAGTGGCCCCTTTCAGACAAGCGATGCCCGGCAAAACTCTCTCGCCTCTTGCCTCAGTTCAGCGGCCCCCCTGCTCCCCACGGCCCCATAATCCTGCGGAGCGGAATTGGGCAGGGGGCTGCTGGGAGTTGCCTTTGCTCCCCCAACCACGGGGAAAGTGGGCACGGGGCAAGGCAGCGCCCCCCCCCGCCCCCAGTCAGGGCCGGAGCTGATCAGGACTTGACTCTGTGTCTGTCGGGGTGATGCCCAGGCGCGCAGACAGAAAAATAAGATTTAAAATGCAGATCAGTCACAAACAGAGCGCAAAACCACTGAGAACAAACGGGCTGGGGCTGGACAAGACATGAAAATTAACTGTGCTAAAGACATGAAAATTACCTGTACACAAATCCATATGCTAAGATGTGGAAATCCTGCAAGGATGAAGAAATCTTAAGAAAGCAGCTTTCTTAAGATTTCTTCATCCTTGCAGGATTTCCACATCTTAGCAGGTTCTGGAGCGGTAAATCTGGAAAAGAGCCTGGAGAAGGAGACAAACATCGCTTAAAAACCGAGTAGCAACAGACGGACGGACCGCGGGAGCAGCTGCCTGCAGAGGCGCTAGTCCGCGCTGCGCTCGAGCGGCGCCCGCCCCGCCCCGCGCCGAAAGCAAAAGTAGAAGCGCCGCGGAAGGGACGCGCCGAGCGCAGGAGCACGACGACGGCTCTGCGCCGCGCTGGCCTCTCGCCATGGCCCCCTCCGCGTTTAACCCCCCCGTGGGCACGAAAGGAACCCTTCTCCTCTTCCTCTTCGGTGAGTGGGGGCCGGACGCCTGGGTCCCCCGGGGGGCGAGGCGAGGGGAGCGGGGCGCGTGGATGATCCGCTCGAAGGCCGGGGGGGGGGGGGGGGGGGGGGGGGTCTAGTCTGGTGCTTGTTCTGGAGCAGCGCGCGCGCGCGCGCGCCTTTAGAGTCAGACAGGAGCCCCACCGGTGCAGCTCCGGCAAGGGCTCGGAGAGTGAGGCTGCTGCGGGTCCGCGCACCAGGAAGGCTCGGGGGGGGGGGGGCGCACCCGGGAAAGCCCGGCCGCCCGCTTGCGCTTTCGTTTTCGCTGGCGTTCCCCGCGCGCTCACGCCGCTCGCGTCTTTGCGCCCGCAGGTCTGGCGAGCGCCGCGCCGCGCCTCGCCCGCCTCAACTGCTGGTTCGTGGAGGAGGCCGGCGGCGGCGGGTCGGTGATGCCCAGCGCCCTCCGCCAGCGCCCCGCCCTGCTGCTGCTGCCCCCGCCGGGGAGGCGCCTGGAGGAGCGCGACCTGGAGCCCGAGCTGCCCCCGGAGGTGGAGTCCGGCCTGGCCTTCCAGATCCTGGGTAGGAGGCGCCGGCCCCCCGGGCTGGCGGCGCGTCCCGGCGAAGGCGCTCCGGGGATGCCGGGGGGGGGGGAGCGGGGGGGGGCTGGATACGTGCAGGAGCGAGTCGGAGCAGCTGGGGGCGCGCTTGGGGGGCCGTGGGGCGAGCTGGCCCCGGCCACCACGGCGGGAGCGCCTGGGGGCGGCCAGCGCGTGTTCTCCTCGGCAAGCTAATGCCCAGTTCGAACAGCGCCTCCTTTAGCGCCCGACTCCAAATCTGGCCGTCTAAAGTTGCAGCGAGAGGTTTTCAGACCCCTCTGAAGTGCCCCTGTGCACGTACGTGGATGAGCGTGCAAAAATTGATTTTTTAAAATCCAAATAACTGGAGGGAAGCGTATGTTGTGGAGTTCATGTATCTCCAAATATCACACGTGTTGCAAAAGCAAGACTTTTCCCGGAAGGCCGCTGTTGCGCCAAACATTTGGGGCAGCACCTGGCCGTGCCCCTCTGCCCAGACCGCGGCCTCCTGGAGTGTGGGCCCTCCCAGGCCAGTGTTCCCCCCCATCATGGCGCTGCTCCTGCCGCCGCCCCGGCCAGGAATCCCTTTTTCCTGTTGGGAAAAATGCCTGTTTGGGAAGAACGGTGAGGTTTGGGTCCCTGGTCCCTGGAGACTGTCCCCCAGCGAGTGGCCTTCTCCGGCCAACCCCAAATGGCCACGCGCGGGCGGACTTTCTTCCGCCCGGACGTCCTCTTATTCTTCATTTCTGTGCCACTCGCAGCCAGAATGCTCTGGGCGGCTAAGAAAACCGAGCAGGGCACCTTGAATCTGTCACACAGGCACCGCCCGTTCCTAAAATCCACGCCTAGGAGCGATTCTGGCGTAACTCTTCTGGAAATCGGCCTCGGCAGGCCGGGGAGTGAGCTGGGCCCGCCAGCGCGCCGGGTGGCTGGACTGGCTCCCCGCCCGGCCTCACCGGTCCCTCTCGGTCATCTCCCCGCAGACGCCTCGGGGGTCCTGTGGGGCGGCCGAGACCCCAGCGCCGAGCCTCTCTGGCCGGAGGCCGAGGCCACCAGCACGGGCGTGCGCACCTGTGAGATCAACGCCTACCTGCCGCAGGAGGCCCACGTGGCCTGGGCCGCGGGGCTGGTGGGCCAGAGGGGGTGCCCGCGCACCCTGGAAGCGGGGCAGTGGTTCATCGCCACCCTGCAGAGCCCCATGGCGGGATACGGCGTCAGCAGCATCATGAACCAGGGAAGGCCTCTGGTGGGGAAGCAGACGCTGGAGAACAGCCCGATCACCACGGTGACAGGTACGCGGGCCGGGCATGTGCCGAGGGCGTTGAGGGGCTGTGGCCGGCAGGTGGGATTGGGCTGCCCCCGGGGGCCTTTGGGCCGCTCGCTGATCCAGCCTGGCCTGCCTTGCAAGGGGGTTGTGAGGAGAAAATAGGGGAGAGGAGGAGAATCGCGGGCACTCGGTTCAGAACGGGTGAGCCTGGAGCCCTGAGAGCGGCCCGGCCCCGGAGCTGGGCCCGCAGTTTGGCCAGGCTGGGGGGTGGCCCCGGGGGCAGAAGGCCTGGGGAATCAGCGGCCCGCTGGCTCACGCGAGCCGCTCCCCCGCAGCGGTCCTGTCGGTCTTCTCGTGGACGCCGCGGCTGCAGGCCCGGGTGGGCCAGGACGTGCTGCTGGACTGTGGCTTCTCGGGCCCGGAGGCGGCCTTCTCGGTGGAGTGGCGGCACCAGTACAGCGGGGCCGGGCACGTGGTGCTGGCCTACGACGGGGCGGCCCGGCGCATCACGGTGGCCGAGGAGGGGGCCCAGCTCTTCCTGCAGCCCGGCGGCGGCGGCAGCAGCAGCAACGTCTCGCTGCACCTGCAGAACGTCCGCCCGGGCCAGGAGGGCACCTACATCTGCACCGTCTACCTGCCGTACCTGCACGCCCAGCAGGCCATGGAGCTGCAGGTCGTGGGTGAGTGTGGGGGGCGGGTGCCGTGTCCCACGCGCCCCGGAAAGTCCAGCCCACCCTCACTCCTCCGCACCGGCCCCGCAAGCCCCCAGCGGAAGAGGGCCGCTCGGGGGGGCTCGGTCCGCTGAGAGGCGGGGAGGTTACGGCAGCGGGGCCGATCACGCAGGGCGGTGGGGGGCCCTCTCGTGGAAGCGTTGGGATGGTCACCTGAGCGGGAGGGTGGGACTCGGTGTCCCGCAAGAGCAGGGAGCGATGGGACCCGTGGGCCTTCCTGCCCCTCCCCACTCTGCAGCCTTTATTTGTTTATTTAGGAAATTTATAGGTCATCATTACTGTCGTCTCTAGACAGCTATATATTATAATAAATAGATATTTATGTATTTATTTAAATCTTTTGCATACCGTGTATTGCTACATAGCTTCAGAATGGTCTTACACTGACAGAGAATAGAACACAGCCTCTGTTCTACATGATAAAGCCCCAATTAAAATCATATTCTAACCCGTAAAATGCTGGGAAAATAGGTTTTGGCCTGGTGCCAAAAGGAATACGGTGGCATTGCCAGGCGGGCCTCTCTGGGGAGCTCGTCCCAGAGTCGGGGTGCCACCGCAGAGAAGGCCCTTCTCCAGGGATCCACCCTCCCGCTCTCCTTCAGGGAGGGTCCCCGGAGGGGGGCCTCCGCCCCCGATCTGAAGGGGGGCAGGCACGGCCTTTCAGGCGCCCCACAGCAGAGGCTCCGCTGACCGCCGTCTCGTCTCCTGCCAGAGCCCCCCAAGGTCACCTTCCGCCCCACCCCGCTGACCCTGGCCCCCAGCGCCCCGGCTGAGCTGGCCTGCGAGGTCTCCGGCTACTACCCGCAGAGCGCCTCCGTCACCTGGATGAGGCGGGACCCCCACGGCTCCTCGGACGTCATCGCGGACAGCTGGGAGACGGGGCACCGGCAGTCTCCCGACGGCACCTACAGCTTCACCAGCTTCGCCCGCCTGCCGCCCATCCGGCCCGAGGACCACGGCGCCTCCTACAGCTGCCACGTGGCCCACGCCGGGCTGGGCGACGTGGGGCTGAGGAAGGCCGCGAAGCTGCGCGTGGCAGGTAGCGCTCGGCAGGGGCGGGGGGCTGCCGGGGGGCCCTGCGCCGGGCCCCCGGTGTTTCCCCAGCGGAGGGCGCTGCCTTGGGCGTGCCGGCCGCCCACTCCACGGGGCCGGGGAGCCCCCTCAGCCCGGGCCCCCCCGGACACGGCTCGCTGTGGGGGCTCCGGGAAGCAGCCCCCGAACAGGCTGGGCTGGAAGGGGCGGGAGGGCGCTTTGGGGGGACGGAGGGTGCTCCGGACCCCTGGCGGCCCGGCCCTGGTGCGGGGGGCAGCTTGCCAGCCTCGGAGGAGCGCCCGGCCCCCCCGGATGGGGGCGCTTCACCCCCAGTCGGTTGGGACCCTCAGGGCGGAGGTGGCCGGTGCAGCAGGGTCCCCATCACCCAAGTGCCCCCCTCCCCCCCAGGCCAGTCGGGGCCCTCCCTGGAGGACGCCATCGGACTCTTCCTCCTGGCCTTCCTGCTCTTCGGGGTCCTGCAGCTGCTCTTCCGGCACGGTGAGTCCCGCGTGCCCGCGCGAGCGAGCGAGCGAGCGCGGCTGCTCTGTGGCTCCCCACACGCCCGCTCCCCCCATTAACTGCACTGCCTGTTCCTTTGCAGCCGCTGGAGAGACCACCAAGACTGAGGTAAGCGCCCCGGGGCACCTTCCCGCCTGCTGGGCTGCCCTGGCAGGGCGTTCAAGGTGGGGCAGCTGGGACCTGGGCGCCCCCTCGCGTCCCGGCCCTCGGGGCCCTGGCACAGGCACCCCGACCCCTCGGGAGGAGAACCTATGGTGTCGGGCACCTTCTGTGCCTGCACGTGCTGCCGGACTGCAGTTCCCATCTGCCCCAGCCCACAGAAGCCGTGATGAGGGAGGGAGAGCGAGCAACCGGAGGGCCTGAAGGTCCCAGCCCTGCATGAGGTCTCCTGGCCCCTGCCCGGGGTGGTGGGGGGGGCCCAGAGGGCCCCGCAGGGGTGGCAGGCTGGCTGGCTCCATCGCTTGTGGGGCAGAGGGTGGCCCTCAGGCCCGAGGACTGATCCAGGCTGTGGGGAGAGTCTCCTCTGTGGGGCCCCAGCCTCTTGAGGTCGCGAGGAGGGGGTGGTGGCACCCCCGGCTCCTGCTGCGAGCCCTGCCCCACGGCTTCCCTGCGGGTTGCTGACCTGGGCCAGCCCCAGGGCAACGAGCCAGCCAGCTGCACGCCCGGCCCGTGTGCTCTGCTCCCTTCTGGTGGCCCCCCGGGACCCCCACCCCCCATGTCCGGGAGGCCCCCAACCCTCTCTTCTCTCCCCAGAAACTGGAGTGAGCTGGGCCTGGAGCTCATGTCGGGTCTCTCGGACCCCCCGGATGGAGGGAAGAGGTTGGCCGCCGCCGGGTCCTTCTGCTGCCCCCCCCAAAGGCCTCTTTCACCCCCCTCCATTTGCGGTGCTTTCAGGGGGAGCCCCTCTCCCCTCTTTGGGGCAACCTCCGATTGTGTGTCTCCTGGCTGCAAATGCCCCGTTGTGAGTGGGGGGGGGGGGCAGCCGAGAAGCCCTCCCTCCCCGAACTGTGTGCCTGCTTCTGCCCCGGCAGCCCCTCGGAAGTGTTGGCAGAGTCCCTGAGCCGAATGCAGAGCGCGGGGCAGCTTTCCGGACCACCTGGCCGGTTCTCCGACTTCACCTCTGCGCTGCACCTGCCTGGACATGGCCTGCGGGGGCCCCGCCATCCCCGCTGCGGAAATGGCGGATCGGCCCCCACGGAGAGCTTGCAGGCGTGCAGTGGGCCAGGGAGCGGACCCATGAAACCCAGCTTCCCACCGGGTAGCACTCTGCACGTGACTCCGGGCAGCCCCACTTCAGCTGGGGGCACTACGGAAGATGGGGGCGAATTCCCCACACCGGGAAAACAAGGAGCTTGGTGTCAGGACCTCGCACTTGTGACTTTCTCCAGTCTTGTGCAGCCCAGATCTAAGCCGATTCCCTCAATGAGATCTAGCTGCTTATGTTGGCCAGTTTTTTATTTTTAATGTTTGCCCACAACATCACTGTGATTCATGTGGGGAAGTTTTGGAGACGGATGGATTCGTACCTCCTGCTCACCCACCAAAACGGCCCCCCAGCCCCTCCTTCCCTGCCCCGGCTGTCCCCGCTCTTGTTCCCACCTGAACGTAGCCAGCCCTAGTGGCACAGCAAGCCACGCCGTGGGCAATAAACTTGGAATGCCGACAGGAGTCCGCGGAGTGCATTTTGTGGGGTGGGAGGCCGTCTTCGCCAGGCTCCTGGGCTCAGAATAATTCGGCCCACGCTGGGAATGGGGGGCTTCGAACTGGGAAGGTTTTCCCTGAGTGCGGCTCCATCCGCCTGCAGCAGAAGGTGCCAGGTGTCCTTGGCTCACGGGGGGTGGTCTCGCTCGGGGTGGCCGCCTGCCCCACGACCTGTTTCCTGAGCACCGGAGCGGCGGCGCCTGCCCAGACTCGGGAGGCTTTTTCTGGAGCCACGAGCGGGTTGATCGGTGGAGGTCAACCGAGGACCGGGGCCTGAAGGGCCACTACCCCACTGCTGTGCAAGTGGGGTCGCTGCAGGACTTCTGCCCGTGTCGGTGGCACCAGAAGGGGTCCCATGTGTCTGCTGCTGTGCAGGCCATTGCTGTGGCACATGCTCCTGGGGATTCCAATGAAGATAGAAACAGAGCGAGGCAGAAGGGACCCCCTGGGCCATCTAGTCTGCCCCCGGCTCCAGCCGGCTCTGCTCATAGAAACAGCGCGAGGCAGAAGGGACCTCCGGCCATCTAGTCTGCCCCTGGCTCCAGCCGGCTCTGCTCATAGAAACATAGAAACAGGGTGAGGCAGAAGGGGCCTCTGGGCCATCTAGTCTGACCCCGGCTCCAGCCGGCTCTGCTCACGACATGCCCGCCATGTGCATGTCCAGCCTGTCCTTGAACACCCGCACCAGTGGGGCTCAACCACCGCCCCTTCCAGCCCCTGGCCAAGCTGCCCCGGGAACCTGGCTGCCTGCCCGCAGCGCTTGTGGAAACAGTCGTGTGAGTGTGGCAGGCAGCTATCTGACTGGTGCAGACTCTTTTCTGCCCGGGAGATGTGGGGGGGGGGGATGCTGCTCCCACAGTGGGAATGTTTCCCTGCTTGCTGGGCTGGGCTGCTTGGCTCCTCTGAGCCCCCCCCCCCCCGCCGGCACCTGGCCCCCCCAAAAGGGAATGGGGGGGGGGGGGGGGGTTCCCTTGCCCTGGCAAGGCCTGCAGGCGCGACCCTGTGCCAGGAATTGGGGCCTTCCCCCCTGGCTTCCAATTCTCCTCCCCTGCCCACAATGTCTGGGATGGTGCGCACGTGAGTGGGACTGGCTGCAGCTGGGGTCAGACTAGATGGCACCAGAGGCCCCTTCTGGCTGGCTCTGCTTCTATGTTGCAATTGCCTGCCAGCTAAGGCTGGCAGGGGGCGCCCCTGGCCCGGAGGAAGCCAAGAAGGGCACTACTGGGGGGGGGCACCTTCATGCCAGGTGCTGATGCTGTGGCGGCCATGTTGGGTGAGGGCGGCCAGCGGGGTGGCAACGGGGATGAAGCCAAGCGACGGCCATGCTAAGTCGGGGCAGATTGCTCCTTGCAGCCCCTTCCCTGCAGTCGGGGTTGGGCTGGCCTGCGATCCCATCATGTAGAGAGCTGGGGAGCATGGAGGCGGGAGCCCAGCCTGCCCGGAGGGCACCAAGGTGTGCCTGTTCAGGGTGGGCACTGTTCCGTCAAGGGGTTCACCGTCATCTTCCTCAGTATTTCTGCCTTTGCTTGCAGGGGTTCTCGACGACCCTGTTTGCCAAACCCCCCGTGTGCAAATGCCCGACATATTATTTTAGTATTGTTATTTTATTACTTGTGTTTATACCCTGTCCTATCGCTTCAGGCACTCAGGATGGCTTACAAGATATATATAAAAAACAGTACAAATAAAACTAGTATAAAACATGAATTATAAAAACAATATAAACACATCACTATAAAATGCTACTGTGAAAAGGGGGGGATAAAATAAAATCCTAAAACAGCTAAAAACATTAACTGTTAAGGATCAAATAAAAAGGTCTTTCCCTGGTGCCAGAAAGAAAATAACGAATATAAAATGCAGAATGGGGAAAGGTTCTCTTTTTCAGGATTTATCCTCAGGTGCCAACCAGTCGTTCCAAAATGCGTGCCTGAGCAGCCCTCCATCGGCCCTTTTATGCACGGATCTGTAGTGGGTCCCACGTGACACAGTTCACACTTTAGAAACAGAGCGAGGCAGAAGGGGCCTCTGGGGCCATCTAGACTGACCTCAGCTCCAGCCAGCTCTGCTCATGACATGCCCACCCTGTGCATGTCCAGCCCTCACCAATGGGGCCTCAATGACCTCCCGTGGAAGCCCATTCCACACCCTCGGGGTCCTGACTGTCAGGAAGTGCTCCCTGGCACCCGAATTGAACCTTGGTACCCTGAGTTTTGCTCCGTTGGAGGCGTCCTGCCTTCCTCTGCAGGGGAGAACAGGTCTCTCCCCACCTCCGTGTGACACCCCCTCACATACCTGTATGGCGCCAACAGATCCCCTCTGAGCCGCCTCTTCTCCAGGCTGAAGAGACCCAGTTCCCCCAGTGTCGCTTCATACCCCATCCCCTATAAACCGGCCACCAACCTTGTGGCCCTCGCTGCACTGACTCCAACCTGGCTATATCCTTCCTGTAACGAGGGGCCCAAACTGAGCACAATACTCCAGTTGTGGGCGCACCAGAGTCGTATAGGGTGGTAGTAATACCTCCCTCGATCTGGAAGCCACACTTCTGGCTATGCACTGAAGGGATCTTGGAGTCGGGTTCAGTCCGTCTCCCGTCCTCTCAGCCATCCTTCAAGGAGGTCTGCAGATCCTTCAGGCTCGGAAGGGGAGCTTTCCCGCAAGGAGACGGGGCCTTGCGCATGGGTCCAGCGACTTCCTTTGAACCTTCGCCATGGTCCTTGCCATGGGATCACTCGGAGTGGTCCTTCCTTCCTGGCTGTAAGGGAATTTCTCCTCTTGCACACCTTTGAGGTTGGCCAGGCAGGATAACTTCTCTGCTGTTACACAAAACTTAAACTTGGCCCCAGGAATTTATTCCAGTGGAAATTAGCTTTTTCTTCCGGGGAGAGGTGCCAGCCCATCGCCCTGCCCCTGCCAGAGCAGCTCAGCTTCTTTGGGAAATTTCTCTTTACGCAGTTCTCAAGAAACAAAACCAAACCCAGTTGCTCGATTGAACACTTTGGTGCAGCACATTTCTGTGAATGAGAAGAATTCTGCATATTGCACTAAAGCTTTACGGCAATTTCTTGAGATGTGGGGCGGGGGAGAGGAGCACTGCCCTTTATTTTTGGCTTTATAAACTTCCCTACATTCCAGAATGGCAGAAAGTGAACAGGAACTAAAGAGCCTCTTGATGTGGGTGAAGGAGGAGATTGCAAAAGATGGCTTGAAACTCAACATTAAGAAAACTAAGATCACGGCATCTGGTCCTCTCACTTCTTGGCAAGTAGATGGGGAAGAAATGGAGGTAGTGACAGATTTTACCTTCCTGGGCTCCAAGATCACCGCAGACAGGGACTGCAGCTAAGAAACTGAAAGATGCTTGCTCCTGGGGAGGAAAGCTATGGCCAATCTCGACAGCAGGCGGAAAAGCAGAGCCATCACCCTGCCAACAAAAGTGCATATAGTCAAGGCTGTGGTTTTCCCAGTTGCAATGCATGGCAGTGAAAGCTGGACCATAAGGAAGGCTGAGCACCAAAGGATTGAGGCCCTTGAATTGTGGTGCTGGAGGAGACTCTGCGAGTCCCCTGGACTGCAAGGCGATCAAACCGGTCAGTCCTAGAGGAGATCAACCCTGACTGCTCTTGAGAAGGCCAGATCCTGAAGATGAAGCTCAAACACTTTGGCCACCTGATGAGAAGGAAGGACTCCCTGGAGAAGAGCCTGATGCTGGGAACAATGGATGGCAGAAGAAGGGGATGAGGTGGCTGGACGGGGTCCCTGGGGCGGTGGGTGTGGGGCTGGGTGGCCTCCGGGGATGGACAGGAGAGCCCAGAGGAGTGTGGTCCATGGGGTGGCCGTGGGTCGGGCGCGGCCTCGCAACCAGCAGCAACCACCGCTGCCTTTAAAAAAGCGCACAATCCCGAATGGCGGGCCGGGGACCCTCACTTCCCGCTGCGAAAAGCGCCTGGCAGCCGCTGCGACGCGGGCCCCCCGGGGGGGAGGCGAGGCCCCCGCAAGGGTCGCCCCCCGAGCAGCCCTGCCCCCGCGCAGCTTGCGCGCCTCCTGCCGAGGGCGAGGGGCCGCCCTAGATGTGCGAACACCTCGCGGCGATCCTCCCTCGGGGGACCCGCCGCCCAGCCCGCGAGAAGGAAATGGCGGCCGCCCTCATCCAACATGGCCGCGCGGCAGCCACCGCCCCGCCTCCTCCTCCGCCCGGGCCGCCCGGGCCGCCCGCCGACTTCACTTCCGCGGCGGCCTCTCGGGCGCTGATTGGAGGGCACGGGAGGCCCCGCGCTCTGGTTGGCCGGCGGCGGAGGAGGCGGAGGCGGAAGCGCGCGCCTCGGCGGGGCTCCACGTGGGGGGCGAGGGGGCGCCCGAGCCATGGCGGGGGACCGGGAGGCGGCGGCATCGGCAGCGGCGGCGGCCAAGGCGAGGAAGGTGAGTCGCCCGCCGTCCTCCGGGCGCAAAGCGGGACGCCAGCGCTGGCCGGCAGGGCCCGTGTTCAAGGATGCTGGGGGTTGTAGTCCAGGGGTCGAGGCAGCCCCTGGCGGGGAGCGGCGGGGATTGAGTGGGCGGACGCTGAGCCCGCCAGCATCTCCAGGTGGGGCGCGGGAGGCATTTCGGAGTCCCCCCGCCCCCCGGTCTCCTGGTCCGCCTCTAGGCCAGGTGGGCTCCTGCGGTCCTGCTTAACGCTGAGGACTAGAGCCTTGCTTTCACCCTGCGGGAAGGCCTGTAAAGGGGCTGGGGCGGGCGCCTCCTCTGCTTGCGGCCCCGGCCGCGCCGCCTGTCCAAGAGCTCACGGGGTTGGATCCGTTCCCACGTGGCACCACCAGCCCGGCCCAGCGCTGTCCCCGGGGAAGAGCCGCAGGCGGCGGGGCGCGCGTTCCCCTGCGGGGATCCGGGCAGGCGCGGGGTTGGGCTGCTGCCTTGGACCCCCCGGAGAAGAAGCGCCCGTGCAGCGCTTCCGCCAGAGGTGCGGGGCCCAGGGTGGGTGGCTGCAGCGGAGCCGGGGATGGACTAGCTGGCCTCGGGGGACCCTCCCGGTGCTGGGATTGCGAAATGGTGCAATGTCCCGACCCCGCGCCTTGCCCGGGCCAGCCAGGGGCTCCCCACCTGCCCAGGGGTCGTGCTGCCAAGTGTGATGCGTGACTTTGGGAGGCAGCTGACCGCCCCCCCCCCACCGGAGGATCAGGCCGTGCCCATAAGCAGAGGCCTGCCAGGAAGGGACTGTGGCACGTGCCCCCTTAGCGCTCCCTCAGCCTCTCCACTCCCACCCCCGTTCCCAGCGCAGCTTGCATTGCAACGTACAGGAGAACAGGAGGGACCCGGTGCAGGGTCAGACCCGGGGCAGGAGGGGGGTGCTGCAGTGCCTCCCCCAGGTTCCACAGAGCTGAGGTGCGTAGCGGTGCTGCCCCGATCCTGGAGGGAGCACAGCGCCTTCAGGACTAGCAGCTGTGGTTCGCTGCCCCCCACCCAGTATCTATCTATCTATCTATCTATCCATCTATCTATTTATTTATTTATTTATTTAAACAACTTCTGTGCCGCCCCATCGCATGAGCCTCGGGGCAGCTTACAATCATAAAATCTTCCATAAAATACACAACAAAAGTGCTAGACCAGCCCACTTTTCAACCCGACTCGATGACTGTGCCTGAGCCCCAGCGGGTGAGTCCCCCCCTTGGCGTGCTCACGCTGCCTCGACGTGTCCCGTGCCAGCCTTGGGGTGCCGTATGGCTCCTCCTCGGGGGACAGTGCGACCCCGAGAGCTGCCCAGGCTCCTGGGAGTGGCGGCCCTCTGCTTGGGGGTCCAGCAGGTGCGCGACAGCAGCAGCCTGGAGGGGCTGGGCTGGGCTGGGGCACTGCCCGCCACAGATGCCCCCACTAACCAGCCTGCTTCCCCCCACAGAAGACGCGCCCCCAGCGGTACTGGGAAGGAGAGCCGGGCGGTGCAGCGCCCGAGCGGGCTGGAGCTGCTGCCCCGAAGGAGCCCCGGCCGGATGGGGCACCCGGGACGAAGACGGCGAGGCCGGGCTGCCGGCGCCGGATCTCGGGGGTAAAGGGGCCGCCGGGTGGGCTGGGGCTCCGGGCCTTGGCCCCGTGGGGCAGCCGGGTCTGACGCCCTCCCTCCTCTCGCAGGGGACGGATCCCTTTCCCGGCGCAGCCCCCATCTGCTCCGAACGGCTGAAGAAGTTCCGGCGAGGGCCCTCGGGAGTGCTGGTGAGCTGCGTCGGCCTGCCTCCCTTCCCCGCGGCCTGGGCGGTGGGCCCCCTACTCACTGCCACCTGCCCCTTCCTCTCCTCTGCTCTGCTCTCCTCTCCCCGCAGGGCACGGCCTCGGGCAAGCGGCTCCGGCACCAGCTGGCACTGCAGGAGGAGCGTGCGGAGGCTGCCGCCGAGCAGGCGGCCCGGAGGGAGCTGCTGCTCCTGGAGGAGCCTGGGTAATGCCCCCCCGGGAATCGCGGGCCCGCACTGCCCCCACGCACCCTGCACGGGGGCTTCTGCGTTTCCCCCTTTGCAGTGGTTAGTAACCAGACCCTCCCTCACTCTCCCGCATGGCCACCGGGACCTCCGCTTCCAGTGCCAAAACATTCGCCTCCAGCCTGCACGAGGCCCGAGCAGTGGGGCAGGAGGGCCCCGCGGGTGTCCAGGGCTTCCTTCAGGCCCCGAAGCAGCTGGAGGGCACTCTTGGGATAGCGCAAGCGAAGCAGCTCAGGCTCTGTGGGGTGCGAGCGCAGTGCCCGCGGTGCTCCTCCTTCCTGGTTGGGGGGAGCTCTCTCGGGCTCCCCCCCCCATTCCCTGATTCAGCAGCCTTCCATGCAGGTGCCAACCAGCCCCCCGAAAGCACCCCAGCAGGAGAAGAGTGCCGCAGCCCCTGCCCATCTTCCCCAGCAGCTGGCGTGCAGGGGCGGCTGGCCCTTGTTCCGCAGGCAGCCGTCCGAGTGAGCCGCGTCCCCCCACCCCGTGCTGCCGATGCAGCCCCTCTCTAACCACCCCCAATGAGTGGCCACCCCGCATCTCGGGGCAGCCCCTTGAGGCACCCTCACTGACCCTCTCTGGGGCTGGTGGGGCAGAGGGATGCAGGGGCCTGCCCTCCCCACAGCCCGCCCCAGAGGCCCCCCCCCCCGACCACTCCGGCTCGTCCGCGGCTTCCCTTGGGCCGCCACTCCCATGCGCAGGAGCCTGGCTCTCCCTGCAGTTTTAAGATGCTTTGGCGGCAGCTGCTCTGCGCATGCCGGTCTTCAGGATAGCTCTCCGTGGCTCGTTCCGTTTAGCTGCCAAATATCTATTCAGTTCAGGTGCCTCTGTGTTGTCCGCTCTTGCTCTGTGCTGCTGCGTCTCCAACTTGTGGCAAACTGGTGCCTGCCTTTGGCCCTTCAAAGTGCATCCAAAGTGCAACGGCCTCCTGGGAAGGCTGTGGCCCCCTTCGATCCCGGACCCCCTCGCCCGCCTGCCCGCCCGCCGGCCTGTCCTCTCCAACACCATGTTCTGTCAGTCTTCCTGTCCGCTTTCTGCACCGTCCAGCTTCACCCAGCCGCCAGGAATACAAGAGCGTGGTGGATCTTGGCCGTGGTCTCCAGCAAAAGCCATCCGTGCGCTCGGGGGCCTCTAATCCTTCCACGGCTGTCCTTCCCGGTCTCTGCCTTGTTCCCCGTGTCCCTCGTAGACTCACGGTGCACATGAAGCAGCAGATAAACTCGGCGATAGAATTATGGGGCAATAAATCCATGAACCGCTCGTTGGCCTAGCGGTTAAGAGAGTTGTGCGGACGTCTTCTGTGCGCAGGAGAGTGCCCCCTTCCAAGCGTCAGCTGTGGGGCAGCTTTTTAACTGAGCCGGGGCGCGAACGCATCAGATGACTCGGGGGTCGGTCGCGCCCATGTGCTACGCCGGCCCCTCACTCCGCCCGCTCACCGCCCCTCTCGTGGCCACGCCAGGTTTCTGGAAGGCGAGGACGGAGAAGACACCTGCACCATCTCCCAGGCGGACATCGCCGAGGCGGTCGACCTGGCCGCCGGTGCCAAGGTGGGTGGCCCAGGCGGGGGCTCCGGGGGGCTCCGGGGGGGGCGGTGCCGGAGCCTCCGGGCCTGACCTTGCCCCCTTCCCCCCGGCAGCATTTTGAGCTGAGGCTGGAGCAGTTTGGCCCGTACAGGATCAGCTACACCCGCAACGGGAGGTGAGTTCACGGGGCCGCCCCCCCCCCCGGGGCGGGGGCTGTGGGGAGGGGGTGCTCCCAGCTGCCACGCTCCGCCTTCCGACCCTCCGCAGGCATCTGCTCCTGGGCGGGCGCCGGGGCCACGTGGCGGCCCTCGACTGGCACACGAAGGCCTTGCTGTGCGAGATCAACGTCATGGAGTCCATCGCCGACCTCACGTGAGTGCGCGGCCGGTGCGTCGCCTTGCCCTGTGCGAGCGGGAGGGGGACGGAGGGCGCCCCCAAGCCCACGGGCTGGTACCCTGAGTGGGGTGGCTCTGGGCCCGGTCCTCGCCTGCCTCCGGCTACAGCGGCCCGGGCCGGAGGGCACCACGGAGGCACACGTCCCGAGTGGGCACGGCGGGAAGCCTCCGCCCCACAGAAGTCGCCCCCCATGCTCCGCTGCGGCACCCTGGCCGGCTGCCTCCTCCCACCCCACCCCACCGTCATTCCTGGCAGGACGGCTTTCCCACCCCACCCCACCGTCATTCCCACCCCACCCCACCGTCATTCCTGGCAGGACTGGCACCCCACCGTCATTCCTGGCAAAGCCGTCATTCCTGGCAGGACGGCTTTCCCGAACAGGCCCCTTCTGGAACGGCTGGACTACAGCTCCCATAATGCCGCAGCCAGCTGCCTGCAGGATCGCAGTCCGAGCCCTTCGGAGGGGTCTGCTTGGGGCAAGCGGCGCTAGAATGGCACGTCAGGCCCGGAAGGGCGCCAGCGCGTCCATACCGTTCCTGGACGGCCTCTCCTCCAATTGCTCCCCTCCCGCCCCGAGAAGACCGGGCAGCCCTGCGGGATCAGGCGGGGCCCATCTAGCCTAGCGCTCAGTGCTCACAGCGGCAACCCAGCTGCCCACCGGCCCCTCCAGGTGCCCTCAGGCGGAGGAGGGCACGTGGCCGGAGGGCCCGGAGCCCCCGAGAGCCCCTCTCTCACGGATCCGTCCAGCCCCCTTACAGCCGTCCAGTTCCTCTCGTCTTCCTCTCGCCTCTCCTACACCTCCCAGCGGCGGTGGGATGGCCCGGGTGCCGGTGCTCCGGGGGGGGGCACAGTCCCTCCCTCTCCGCCTCCCGCACCCCATGCTCCCCATCGCGCCCCCCTTCCTCGCCGTTTTGTGGCCGAGCAGCCCCGGGGTCGCGGCTGCTCCTCGTGGGGGAGCGGCTCCAGCCCCCCCCCACCCCGGGGTCCTTGCCTGGGCTCCCCCGGCTGCCGGGGCTCCCGGCTCAGGCGCCCCCACCTCCCCCGCTGCAGGTGGCTGCACACGGAGAGCATGTTCGCCGTGGCCCAGCGCCAGTGGCTCTACGTCTACGACAACCAGGGCGTGGAGCTGAGCTGCCTGAAGCGCTTCCACGGCGTCCAGTGCATGACCTTCCTGCCCTACCACTTCCTGCTGGCCACCGCGGTGAGTGGGGCCCCCCTCCCCTCCCCTCCCCTCCCCGTCCTGCAGGCCTTCCCTGGGACGCGGCACCGGCTGCCCCCCCCCGGCCAGGCTCCCGAGCTGCCCTGGCCTCTCCGGTGGGCACGCGCCCTCCCTGGCCGGGGCTGCCGCCACGCCTGCAGCACCTGGCCTCGTGCGGGGTTCCCAGGGGGCTGGGGGCTCGGGGCTGCTTCTCCCGGGGCAGGCGCCTCTCCGGGGCTTTGCTTCAGGCAGGAGGCCCTGCCCCTGGGGAATTGGCCCCCGGCCCTGGGACACCCCCGGTCCTGAGAACCCAGGGGGCCCCTGCCCGGCAGCACGCGCCCCGTCCGTCCCAGGCTGCCCCGAGAGCCACGGCCACGAAGCCTGGGGGCTGCCCGGGCCGCGGGTCCCTCTCTGTTGCTGTGCAGGACGCAGGGCTGACCGGGGAGTCCCCCCTCCCTGAGGGCCACTTGCACAGCACTCCCCCCACACCTCCGCCGTCTGGGGCGCCCGGCCTGTTCTGCCCGGCGCCCTGCGCCCCCTCTGCCTTTCCCCGGGGGGCGCGGGGGCCGCTGCGGGAGCCGCTGCGGGCCTGATGGCCGCGCCACGTGTCCCCCCAGAGCGAGACGGGCTTCCTGCAGTACCTGGACGTCTCCGTGGGCAAGGAGGTGGCCGCCATCTGCACCAAGGGGGGGCGCCTGGCCGTCATGGCCCAGAACCCCTCCAGCGCCATCGTCCACCTGGGGCACAGCAACGGTGAGCGAGGCCGGCCCCGGGGCCCGGCTCCCCTGCCCTGCCCTGCCCTGCCCTGCCCTGCCCACGCCGGCCCTGACCGCCTGCCTCCCGCAGGTGTGGTGACGCTCTGGAGCCCCAGCGCCAGGGAGCCCCTCGTGCGGATGCTGTGCCACCGCGGGCCCGTCCGGGCGGTGGCGGTCGAGGCCTCCGGGACGTGAGTACCACGGGGGGGCCGGGGCGGGGGGGCCTGCGTGCGGGGGGCCTGCGCCTGACAGGGGTGTCTCCCCCGCTGTGCAGCTACATGGCCACCTCCGGCCCGGACCAGAAGCTTCACATCTACGACCTGCGGACGTACCGGCGCCTCCACTCGCTGCTGCTGCCGACGGGCGCCGGGCACCTGGACTTCAGCCAGCGGGGGCTCCTGGGCGCCGCCTGCCAGGATGTGGTCCAGGTAACGGGGCCTCCTGCTCCCCGCCCCCCAGACACACACGCACACTCCTGGACCCCCAAAGCCCGTTCCCCATTCTCAAAGAAAGCTTCAGGTGGAAGCCGTTTGGAACGCGGAGCTGGAGCCGAGGCTGCCGGGGGGCTGGCCGGACGTGGGCTGTGATGGGGGGCGCCTCCAGGCACTGTCTACCTCGCCCGCCCCACGGACCGGCCGTCTCCACCGGAGTGCCGCCCCCTCCATGGCGGCTGCCCCGCAACTGCTCCGCTCAGCTGCCTGCATGGAGGGCTTTGCAACTGGCTGTGCCCCGCGAACGGGACGCGCTTGCCCCGGGTTGGGGGGCTGATGCCAGCCACCACCCGAGCCATGCTGGAAGGGGACACGTAGGCTGCCCGGCACCCGTGGGCTTCCCTTTGTGCCCCCAGAAGGCCTCTGGGCACGGGGTGTGCCTACGAGGGGACGGGAAGAGATGGGGCGGAGGTCCCCCCGCCAGAGTGGGACCACAGCTCCAGGGTCTCATGCTGGGCTTGCCTCACGGGGTGGGGGTGGATTTGTGGGGGGAGCTCCTCCATGGGAGGGGTGGGGTGTCTGCTTGGGTGTTAGGTGCCCGGTCTGCCCCCTTTCCAGTTTGAGCTGCTTCCTGCCCCCTCTGGGGATCCCTGCATGGCTGCTGGGTTGAGGGGATGGATGCCCACGGCAGTTCCTTGGCCCCGATGGGGCGCGTGACCCCCAAAGGCAGGGAATGCGGCTGCCTCTCCCTCCAGCCCTCTGGGGGCTCCCCCTCCACAGAACTGCCCATTTTGGGGGGCTGAAGGAAATGGGGCCGGCAGTGCGGCCACAGCCCCGGAGCGGCGGAGGGTCCAGGGCGCAGGCTGGCCTGGGTGCAGCCCCCCCTCGTATGGGACGGGTGAGGGGAGCTGCAGGGCAGGTGTGCCCCCTCTGCCCCTCCCTGGATGCCGGGAGGCCCGCCTGGACGGCTCTGGCCAGGAAGGCCCTCGAGGCATCGGCTGCCGGCCTGCACTGGGAGCGCCACCCCGCTGGATGGGGCACAGCCCTGGGCCCTCGGCGCGTGGGGGTCGCCTCTGCCCTCCCTTTGCAGACGGGCAGGCCCCGGGACCCCCCGCCAGGCCTTGCGGCGTCTGCAGCCAGCGGCCCCCCATGACCGCTCCCCCCGCAGGTGTACAAGGACGTCGTGGCCGGCCCGCCCCGGAAGCCCTACCTGTGCCACGCGCTGCCACGGCCCTCGCACGGCCTGCGCTTCTGCCCCTTCGAGGACGTGCTGGGCGCGGGCCACGGGGGCGGCTTCGTCAGCCTGCTCGTGCCAGGTGAGGCTGCGGGGAGGCGGGCCGGGGGCACTGGGGGGCCGGGCCCTGCCGCTGGCTCACGCCCTGCTTTCTTGCCCCGCAGGAGCCGGGGAGCCCAACTTCGACGCCCTGGAGAGCAACCCTTTCCGGAGCCGGAAGCAGCGGCAGGAGTGGGAAGTGAAGGCCCTGCTGGAAAAGGTGGGGCCAGTGGGGGGGGTGGGCCGAGCTGGGGGCCCCGCTGGGGCCCCAAAAGGGAAGGAAGGCCCCCGGTCCAGCGGTTTCCCTCTCGGCCGGCTTGGTGCCTGGATGCGCCGGTCTCACCTCAGGGCAGCCGAGGCAGCTTGGAAGATGGAAGGGCCAGGAGGGCGGAGGGTAGGAAAGGGGGCGCCTTGATCCCAGCCACCGCCGGGAGGCTCCCTGGGGCCTGTGCCGGGTGACCACGGGATGCTCGAGGACCGTTCCCGCCCTCCCTTTGTGGGCAAGAGCACGCCAGGCACTTCCCGGCTGCTTCTTTCCCCTTGGTGCTCTCCGCATGCAGCCCCACGTGGGCAGCCCACAGCAGCCCCCGCTTGCCCGCAGTCCTGGCAGGGCCACCTTTTCCTGCGTTCGGCCTCTGAGGAGGGGTGCTCTGGGCTGGAGCCGGGGCTCCCGGCCCGGACTGCGGGTGCCCGGACCGTCTAATCCGGGACTGGCTTGCCTGGATGCTGCGGCTCTCGCATCCTGCATCCGTCCTCCCTTCTTAAGCCGGGGGCGGGGAGCTGCTGGGACACCCCCTCGGGGGGGGGGGGGAGCTGCCCTGCTCCTTCCACCAGGCGGCCCACCTTTCTCCCCGCAGATCCCGGCCGAGCTGATCGCCCTGGATCCCGGGCAGCTGGGCGCCGTGGACAGCGTCTCCCTGGAGCAGCAGCGCAAGGAGCGTGCGGAGAGGCTGGTGAGGGCGAGGGGCCCGTGGGGACCCCCGAGGGGGACGGGCCGTGGGCCAGGCCAAATGGGGGGCATGGGATGAGAGGCCGGCCGAGGCGGGAGCCGGGGGGCTCGAGCTGCCTGTCTCTTGCACCCCTCCCTGCAGGGCTACGACCCCCTGGACAAGGGCAAGTTCTCCCCACGGCGGCGGCTGAAGGGGCGCGACTCGGCCGGCAGCCGGCTGAAGAGGAAGAAGGCGGTGGCGGCCCAGGACCGGCGGGTAGGTCTCCTGACGGGCGTCAGCCCTCCCCCTTGATGGGGGGCCGCTTGCCGGCCAGCGAGGGTCACAGGACGTCCAGGCAGCCTGCGAGCGGGAGCAGGGGCTCGGGGGTCCTTGGTCCGCAGCCTGGCCCTTCTGCGCAGGGACCCGGTGGGTGGGGGGCGTTAAGCATTAAGGGCCTCCGACCGAGTCCTTCGCCAAGGGGGAACGGCCCAAATGCAGCAAGGCAAGATGCAAATACTTGGCTCATCAGCACTGAAAAAGGAAAAAATCTCGGAGGAATTGTGGCTGGCAGGCTAAACATGAGCCCACCATGCGACGCGGCTGCAGAAAGGGCAAATGCTCTTTTGGGCTGCATCTGGAGAAGCCTCGCTTCCAGAGCACGAGAGGAACTCGTTCCCGTTTCCTCTGCACTAGTCAGACGCTCACCTGGAATACTGTG